AAGCCGATGACAAACGGCGTCAGGAAGCCAGTTAGCGGAAGGGCTGATTTGCACCCATCGTGGGGTTGGAGGGCTTATTTGCCACTTTTTTTAGTTCAGGGGCTTATCACTTGCTATCGAAAAAGTTTAGGGGCTTAAGATGGGTTTTGCCCAATATCTTTCTACCCTTCAATTAACCACCGCGCACCTCATTACTCTTGAAAACGACATTATTTTTCAAACAAAAACGCACATACCGTAACTTTCCGATTCTACCCGCACGTGTGAATGCACTTCACTTTAGTTTTTATGTGTATATTATGCATTACATTTGCCACACGTTCATCATACAATTTTTTTGCATGGGATAACTCCACATAAGAGTAAAATTAAAATTATATAAAAGTTCATTTAAAATTTGATATTGAAGTAATTTCATTTTTATCTCTCTGACAATTAATGACGATCTCATTTACACAGGGGAAACATACTAATAGTGTTAGTTTTTAAGGGTGGGAGTGGTAGTTTAGTCATTAGTTGGTAAAGGAGTTTGATTTCTACAATATTAATTAAGGTTCTAATTTTTAGAGGATGAATAAAAAATATTTTTTCTTATTAAATTTCTTAATTCTACATAACATAAAATATAATAATTTCTCTTTTTAAGTAAAAAAAAAAAATTCTTAGATTTAAGTAGTAAGTGCATTGGGTAGGTATAAAGACGGGAAAAAGAATTATTATGTAATTTAAAATAATAATAATACATTCTGTAGTAATCTAGTGTTAAAAGGTCTTAATGGCCCTGCTCCCCACTCCCCCAAAAAAATAATACATTCACACCGAAACTTGACTAAAATTTTAGAAAAAGGTACGGCAAAAATCTTTTTCTATCACAAATGAATATATTATAAACTAAAAGATAAAAATAATACTAAAAATCTGTTTTAAATTGATTATTTTTTTAATTTTAAGATGAACAGTTTTTGTTTTCTTTTTAACCTTATTTTATTCCTTAAGTTTAATTCTCTATCATATCTCAAGTCTATTTTGTATATAATTAAATACCTAAAATGATAAATTATGATAAGTTTTTTAGAACTCACATTAACTATATGTAAATTAACTAATAATTAAAGAGATCAAGTTAATTAATACCTTTACTAAAAATCTCAAAACATAATACACAAAAAAAGTGTAGAAAAAAAAATGTATACTACTAAGATAATTAATCAAACTTTTAATATGCATAACAAAAAGATAGTATACTCTGTCATAACTCATTATCCCATTACTAAAAAAATTCAAACTGCCTTAATTATATTACTATCAAATACTAAATCATAATTTAAATGTTGTTTACAACACAATTAATAAAATTTGACCTATCTAATCTAAAACAACAATAAAGGCCACATCAGCTCATCGATCTATCGCTATCCGACGTACGTGTGCATGCTAATATATTTCCTTGAGCAGTGCTAGAGGCACTCGCGTCCTGCACTCTCCGACCAACACTCACCCTGTCATTGGGCCACGTAAAATTGCTTGAGCTCTGAAGTGCAGCCTCTTGCTGAACTAAAATAACGTGGCCCAATGAAAGGAGGAGTGTTGGCCGGAGAGTGCAGGAGGCGAGTGCCCCTAGCACTGCCCTATTTCCTTTGATTTCGGCCTTCGATCTTAAGATTCCTCATTTCCACGGCGTTGT